AGGTGTGGTAACCTTATTTTCTGTTTTGCACTTTTTTTGTTTTCTTCCGGTGGAGGAACAAACTCGTTTCATGCATCTTCCGTTTTCCTTTCATGTTTTCAGAAAAACCGATTGATGAACAGTGTTGCCTGTCATTACTTGCGCGCATAGACGATGAAGCAAACATTGCAAACATGTTGCTGCAAGTTTTGATTCGATATCCCGCAAGATCCGTGAACGAAAGAATTTTTCACCCACCCACCCACCCTGGAGAGAGTACACACTTGGGAATGGGCTTTGCCTTTGAGTCTCTAGCTCTTGATTGGCTGTGATTCGGACAGGAGTTGGACTTCTGTTCTTATCAGTGCGACAACTTCTAGATGCATCGAACAAAGATGCACACACCGCTCCCGCTGCCCTAGTGTTGAAAAAGAGTGTGTCCGCCTCTAAGTCCGCTGCTGTGATTGTGGGATATTATATGGACTGATTTGGAGAATGAACGATCTCTTACTTTTGAGTTTTGTATATTCGGAATTTTGCATGAAACGTTGTGCGAAATTTTGGAAAATAATATCGCATTCTTGTACCAGCACCATTGCTAGGCTTGCTGGGTGACAGCTGTAAGGGAATCGTACCAGAGTTGCGCCTGACCGAGTTCAAACGCGCATGTCTGCTCGGCAGCCAGTGCGGCGTGGGCATAACCTCCAGCCAAGTGGCTTGAACTAGGCCGCTGGAACAAGCTTGAGATGCCACACAGGACTGGTCGCATGTCTAGACTGGATTGTTCAAACGTGACGTTGAAGATGTTTGATGCAGTTGCTGGGTCCAGGTTCGTTGAAGCAGTGATCCTCGCCGAATGCTGCCCACCAACAGATGCCCAAGTCTATTGCAAGACTGGAGTCTCGGATTGCGTGAGCAAGTCGGTGAAAAAATTGCAACAGTTTCGCCACGGCAGTCAAGCAGGCGCACGCATTAGCCCATTCCGGCAGTGCCACAGGAGACCTCCATGATAGCCAAGAGGCTCGTACAGTTGGAGCGGTAGTTTTTGTAGACATCCTACCGCCCTGCCAATTTTCAGCATGCCTTTCACGCCCTTGGTGGTTTTGGGCTTGTTCATCCCAGGATCCTATGAAGGCTGCCACCACCAGAGTGTCAAGACACATATCCTACCCTGCAAGGTAGGTTCACCTACGACGCGAATGAACTGGTATTTGGCAACGCTGAGAACTTCTCCGCAGTGTCGGCCACGGCACTTTCTGGGTCCCTCGAAGTTGGGAACCGGTACAAGGAGACATTCCCCGACGACGATCCCGTTGGTCCGCTCTTTGAGTTGGAGGCTGATGAGGCTTTGGGGGGTGATCTGATCTGCGCCTTCCCACCCGACGAGAAGCTTTTCTTCCAGTGCACTGGGAAGGATCTGAAGTATCTCTTTGGTTTCGATATATCCCAGTTCAAGCCGGGCTCGTGCGATGTCCTCAGACTGGAATTCGCTGGCTATAGGCATCCGGGCTTGGGGCATTGGGGTTCCTACTTGTAGTTAGCAACAGTTGCTTGAACCTATGCCCATGACTGGCAGGGCTACGCCCGACGCTCCAGCGAACGCGAATGTGACTGAAAACTTCCCCCTGCCAATCTTCACGCACTCTTGGCTGCATAGTGGTTCGTGATAAAATGATCAAACAACTACGTGTTGTGGTGTCAGTTGCTGTGGCAGTCTCCTTGTGGCAGTTACTTTGTCAGTCTGGTTGCAGCATGTTTGATCAGGTGCTCAGGTCTTCAGTACAGTAGTGGATTAAGCCGCTTGAAACATGCATATGTCCAACCCGACAGGGCGCGCAGTGTTCCGTGAAAACCTGCCTGCTATGTTGGACAGGCTGAGGGCATGCTTCTGCTGCCCCATACCCACGTTGAATTCTGTTCCCATCGTTGCTTGTGATTGTTCTTTCGGTTAAGCTGAGAAGCACAGAAACAGGCCACACTGCGGACAGCTAAGGTTCCCCAAGGTTCGGAGCATCCTTGCAGGCACGGCGGAGCCGGAGCAAAGTTCCACAAACTCCTACTACGGTTACTACGGCGTGCGCAAGAGGCCTTGGCTCCGATGGTGGCGCAAGCAACGACCTGGCAGGCTTCTTTCCCAGCGCAGCCTGCAGCCCTCTTTCCCGAAGCTCAATGGCCTGACATTTAACTTCACGGCAGTGCTCAATGACATCGATCAGCCCTTCTACCGATGCCGCGGCACGTATGAGTTCATCCAGTATGATGCCACTGGGGAAATCAGCGACTCCGGACAGTTCCTCGCTGTGACAGTGAGGGTGTTCGCATTTTCTTCAGGCATTGCCCTACAGACACAATTCATGTCCTGCGTGTTCTTGAGTTCCACATCTCCAACTTCGCTACTTTGCAACAACCAGCTCTTGAACTTAGTTGGTCGTGCTGATGTGGATGTCGATGTTGAAGGTAAAGCTATCGGTATTCAGCTCTTTGGTGATTACCGATTCTCGCAGCAAACTGCCTTCGGACCTGCCATCGGCCCAACGCTGGACTTCCCTTTGCAGAAATGCAATGGCGGATTTCCGACGCTCGGCAACTATGTGTGCAACTTGACGGCAGTGCGTGTCATAGATGGAGGTCTCCGTGGCTTCCCCACCCAGGAATTCTTCGCGCTGCAATTCCAGGGCGATGCTGTTGGAAACTTTTCTGCGAGTGGCAGGGTAGCCAGCCTGACCACTTACACAAATGAAACTGCGCTTTGCGCTTGGAGAGATGGCATGACCTTGAGCTGCATCTTCGAGGCTACATGCTTGGTCATTGAGGGCAACGTCCTGGTTGATGCTGACTGCAACGCAGTAGCAATCAATGCTGTGGGCTCCAGCGGAGGCTGGTGTTCCGGTGCGCTGGTCCCAGATGCTGGTGGCCAGCTCGGCTTCCGCTTCTACGATGACCCCCCAGCAGCTTTTCAGTGGTTGGGAAGTTGCGAACGGGAAGTGTCAATGTCGCAGTTCGAGGCGTACAACTGCAACTGCGCAGTGGACACACCGCTTGGCGATGAACGTTTGTGCGGTTTTGCATTCATGGCTACCGAGAACTACCGTGCAATGGGGCTTGAAGATTGTCAGCAGCGGAATCTGAAGTCAACTGCTTCGGAATGCGAAGTCTTCATCCAGACTTTGGAAGGCACGCTCTTCGACTTTACGTTCGACCACGGAGCGACGATTCCCGTGATTCCCACGTCACAAACCTGCCTTTTGTACAAGGACCAGCTGTCTCTTTCTCAAGTCTCTCGCTAAAGCGCTGGGACTGGATTTTGTCATCCACACAAGCTGGCTGTGCGGTATGCGGCACCATTCCCACACTGCTCTTCACTGACAAGGGCCGCTCTTGGATGCTTCTTGTACACACTCAGGCAGTTCTTAAGCAGGAACAAGAACATGTTTGATGCTGTGCACAGCGCGTTTTAGGAGGTTCGCACGAAGTCCGGCAGCAACAAGATTGGGCGGTCAGGCTGCCTACAGTAGTGCTGGCCGTAGCTGCCAATGCTCGCAGGCTGCATCCCCAGGCGACCTGCAGTTTGTGTGCTCAAGCATTGCAGCACAATCCGCTGTCGTCAACACGCCATGGCGAAGCTACTCATCACGATTTTCGTGCCCGCGATCTTCACGAACGCAGCGCAAGACCCAGCTTGCAACAAGGAGAACACTCGCATGGTGTTTGTTCCTGTCTTGTATCGCTCTAATGCTCAAGAGAATAAAGGAGGCCCGGCTGAATCTATTGAACCCTGCTTAGGCCCCTCTCGGAATTTCTCGTCAGAAGGCTGAAAACTCACAGGCCTGCCGAAGAACGGCGGTGCTGTCTTCGACCTTGCTCCACCCAGTGTTTTTTTTCCTGCGGATGTGTAACTGCAACCGATTGTCAGGATGGTGAACATGCAGATGACTGGTGCTCCAGTTATGTTTCGTTTGCGGAAAACCCAGAACTCGCAGCAGTTGCTGCTGCCAGCGTTTTTTTTGTTTCTTGTTTATGTTTGGTACGTCCATTGTTATTGCTTCGAGATTCTCCCACATGTTTTTCCTCTCTGCAAAATCACAAGTTTTAGTAGTAGTCTTTTCTTGAGCTGATTATCCGGACTGGTTCGTGTGCTGAAAACCGAGCGTGCCCAGATGAGACCGTTGTCGGTGCAGAGTATTTGATGGAGGCACTTTATGCTCTACCCCTCCAGCCCTCGCCGTGAGAGCGAACCATCCAATGGATGCGCTTTGCATGGAGTCTGTTCTTTTGTCCAGTGAGGATGACTCTGCTGCTTTCCTGCAGATCGCAACGGCCGGCGCCGGGAAGCTGTACACTGACCTGTGCAACTGCGAGGACCCCCGCAGACAATCTCCATAGGGGCGAGGGATTGCCAGCAAGGAGCATGTCAGGCATGTTTGTGATGCAGCAGGTGCTGCAGGAACATGCGTGCGAACCCATCTCCGAATGTTTCTCCATGCATCACCATGCGAAAAGGGCCGCCCCGGATCTTTTTTTAGGTGGGCTTGTGACTTCTAGCAGACTTGGTGAGGGGAGCTCGGTGCGGGAAAGCCGGGAGCCACTCCCTCGAAGGTTGCCCTGTGGTTTGCCGTATCCAGTTCAGGACAAATGCCCACCAACCGTTCAGGATGCCCAACACATCTTGACGATTCTCGGCACAAGTTTAAAGACGTCTGCCAGTTCGCACTCCCATCTTGACATGTTGGATGAGCTTCATGATCTCAGGAAGAGCTGCATGGAACACCACCAGTCGAACTGCCTGCGTCTTGTCTCCCGCCTATTCAGCGGCTCGATGCCTTCGGATCCATACACTCGCAGCGACAGCCTGTGCAAGAAGATCAAGTCATTCCGTGATAACACGCAGGCGAAGGCAAAGTCCTCGAATTTTGCAGACGACATGCTGCGTCGGTCTATATATCCTCAGGCAGCTTCCCTTGCAGAAGCGGACAAGGTTACAGTGGGCAAATCCCTGACCCCGTAACAATTGGGTGATGCCCATCTCTCCCAAGTGCGCAGACTGCTGCGTGGCTAAGTGTGCACATCCCTGTTCAAATCAGCTGGTGTCAAGGCCCTTCAGTTTTGTCGCCTCTTCGTTGTGGCACCTGCCCATCAGACACGTGGCTTGCAAAAAAGCGTGCCCTTCTTTTCTGCCGCGGTCGATCTGCTCACTCCCTTGTGCACCCTTTCCTTCCCTCCCTGCTATCCCTCCCCCACTGACCGCTCTCTCTCTCTCGCTTGCTCCCCGCGAACTCTCTGGCTCTCTACTTCTCCCTAAACCCTAAACTAAACCTCTCCACTCCGCTCTCTGTGCCTCCCCCTCTGCTCTCTGGATCCTTGCTCAGTCAGACTCGTCCCCCGTGCTCTTTCCAGAAAGTGTAATCACGTCTAGCCAAGTTTTGTGTCGAAAGAGTGTTCAGTATGTGAGGAAGAAGCACGTCCTCAGATGCGACGAAGAACTCTCTAGGTAGAGGCATTTGAATCGATGCTTTGCGTCGTACCCATTCTCGGCTCGGTTAGTAGCTTAGTCGCAGCATGGCGACTTACCATTGGCATCTGGCGGGAGCTGTGCGTGCTCTCGTCTATTTGGTTCTCCTATACCAGCACTGGCCTAGTCTGAACAAGCTGCGTTGGTCTACATGGCCATACGAGATGACAGGGCGATATGCAGTCGGAGTCTTCATAGTCTTGATTGCGCGCTATGCAGGAGGAGGATTGGCAGGTCTGAAAAAAGAGCTTCATGGATTGGGCAAGGACGCCTTCGGCATTCTCGCGACTGTGAAAGTCGTGTATCTATCTCCCGTGCGTGAGGTCTGCTCGGAGGCCATCTTGAAAGTCTGTTTGCTCCAGGACTACGTCAGGTATGGACCCTTCGGGACCGTGTCTGGATTTATGTTTCAACAGCCTTTCGCTGTTCCGGCCTCAGTTGTTAAGCCGTAAATCGGACCAAAAGTTGCCACGGCGAGGAAGGTGTTGCTTGACATTTGGATTCGTAGTTTTAGGGATGTCTGAGGTTGGTTGCCAACTCTGCGCACACTTTGCGCGTCGTTCAGAACACTTCGAGCCACAGCTGGAAGACGCGGAGTGGTGGGGTATTGTCTCAATCGAAATGCTGTTGTGCGCGCTGGTTTTCATGATCTTCTTCTGGATGGCGGTGTTTGCAGCGAACGTGCTTCACCGATACTTTTCCCACAGATGTTTTCAGACATCCCGCCTCTGGAGCTTTGCGTTGGGAGCCTTCTCTTGCATGGGGAGTGGGATGAGGCCTCTGCAGTACTCAGCCCTGCATCGACGGCACCACAGGTTCTGTGATCAAGAAGGCGATCCTCACTCGCCGTACCAGAAGGGCTTTTTCTACGCCTATGTCTTCTGTTATGCAGACAGAGACAACCTTGAGATCCGGCCAGCTTTCGTGCGAGACTGGTTGTTGAAGAACCCCGAGCTGCTGCTGCTTGAGCTGTATGGCGGGAACGTAAAAGCTCTATTGCGCCGCAAGCTCCTCTACACAATGGTGTATGCGCTCAGCCCCGTGTGGTTGCAACATTTCCCTTTGGATGTCCATCCCATGACTATGGCGGCTAACCTGGGAGAAGTCCTCGCCATTAACTTGGTAAGTGCATTCAATGGCTTTTCCCACGAGATTGGATGGGGCGTCCCAGACACTGACAGATGCTCTCACGTCAATGCATGCAAGGGGAGGGATATGCCTGGCTTCGTGATGATTGGAGGCGCGACTCTTTCATCCAGGTCTCAGCCATGGAATGAAGGCACTCGCAGTGTAGGTTCTGTTAGTAAGTACTAGCAGCTCCTAGCGGCTGGTATTGAAATTAGGCAGAACGACAATCTTTCGAACGTTTGTCAACGGCGCTTCTAGTTCGAGGTTGTGGTCTGCAAAACCGCGCCATGTCGGACTAGAGCGCAATCAGCTGAGACGTGCTTTTGGAGCTTCGGAAGCTTGCACAAATCATTGGTTACATCGAAGGGGTTGCAGGACGCCAATGTTGCTGTAGGTGAAAACATGCAAGCGCCGGCACGGATGCGTCTGCTGTCCTGGTGATAGCATCTTTTGGCACCCTTCACAAAAACCCTGAGCGGTAACCCGCAGCCGGGCAGTGAAAAGAGGCAGACAGACTGGGCACTTTCTTGTGCAGGAGGTGAGGCCTATCACAAGGAGCACCACAAGTTCCCCAACCTCGCAGTCTATGGCCACTGGTATTTGGATTGGTCCTTCTGCGCTTATGCAGCGATGGAGAAGTGCTGCTTGGTGTGGGACTTGCAAAGACCTCCCGCGATCGAACAAAGAGTTTCTCTGTAGCTTTGCGCAGACATCCTATTCACGGCATGATGCAGATCGTTTGGTACATGTCATTTGCCCAATCATATGTTCAATTGGGTAAATGTTCGACGAATGGATCCTAGACCCGAGTCGTGCTGCTACCTATATATGTCCGGAATGACTAGTGTAAAACTCCATAGAAAATACAAGGTTGAGATTGTATATGATTGTTCAAGATATTGAGCTTGCTTGTTTTGGCAGGCCACACGACGTTATGATGGACGATTGAGTGTTGATGCCGTTCGTGTGCAGCATCCCGTTGATGTTCAATACCCAGCTGAAGTAAGTTGGTTTGATGCAGGATGCTGAGAGATGTTGAAACGATCGTGGAACTGGCATGTCAGCAAACTTGTTAACCAGCAACACGACATGCTTCAAAGCAGCATCCTCCGACATACCATGCTGGGTTCGTCTGCACATGTACCCGGCTAGCCGACGATCATGTGACCCCTTGTTCCCTGCATCGATGGCGAATGGGGGCTACAGGACGCAGTTCCTGCATTATTGTCAAGTTTCGTCCAGTGACATGCTGCATCCTCATAGGCGCAGTTGCAGAATGTTGCAGACATGTTTTGGGCAGGACTGACAATCTCATTGGCATAGCGGAAAAGTTCAATTGGGAGACCACTTTGCGGTCCCCGGGTCGGAACCGAGAAACAGATGTCCGGTCCACGTGGGATGCCAGGCGTCAACTGGAAGGGCTAGAAGAAAGGACGGCTTCAGCCGTTGCTTACCTTCACCGTCAACTGCTCGATTTGCAAGCGGCACAGTCTCCGAAGACATCTTCAGATGTCGCAGTTCGATTGGATGCTTTGGAGCAGAAGCAGCAGCAGACTGCACACCGCCTGGATGCCGTGGCAGATGTCGCGAGTTCATGTTCGAAGGAACAAGATGTCCGGCGCACGGTCTGGCATTTTCGCTTGGTAGGATTCGAGTGTGCATGTAGTTGTCGACAAGTTATCGACCAATCAAGATTCAGAACTGTGTGTAACATTCCAGGCACAAGAGCAACGCCTTCAAGCTTTGCAGGACAGGCTGCTTCGCACCACATGCTGCATCAACGTGGGAGCGCATGTTTCGTTTGAGAGGTCCCTGTCAGCAATGCTGGAGCTTTCAATACTCAAGATTCATGAGCCATGTGAGCAGATGACATGCTGGGTCTGGAAGCGGTGTCCTGCTCAAGCAAGGCCGACAGACATCTGATGACGATGTATAGCAGACACCGGCCTCAGCATGAGAAACGCTTCTCGACACCTTTGAACCCTCTCTGTGGCTTCTGAAGATTTATCGCCGTGAAAAGTAACTTCATTGCCTCATTGCCATGGACAGCCCTGATGGCGCCGGTGGTGAAGGTTGGTTCGCAGGTCGAAGCGATGTTGGCTCCTCCAGTTCATGCATCGTGTGCAGGCAAGAAGAAAAAAAGTTCTAGACCTTTGTATCTTGGTTGCATTTGGCGCACGAGCGTTTTTGCATCCACGCAGTGTGGTTAAGACTTTAAGATCATCAATGCAAGAAAGGCCCGCCTGAATCAAGGTTTCTAAATCGAGATATCGTTATCAAGCGATTGCATCACAGACAACAGAGCAGAAAGGTGCGGAGCCAAGTTGCGGCAAGTTGGACAGACATTTGGAGAAAGAGTCTTTGCAATTTTGGTCCGGCATTGTTGAGTCTGCTTCAAACTGGCTTCCTGATTTGACCATGTTAGGCTGCGGGCATCGGCTTCCTATTTACAGATAAACGGGTAGCACCAGAGCAGCAACAGTTTTTGGTTTGAGGCGATTGCTCGCATGTTGCCAAGAAGACTGCTCTGCACTCCAAATCTTCATAAGTTGCTTTACATTCTGTTTTGGTTGTGCATTGCTGTTTTTGTTCTCGTCTGTCATCTGTCGCCGACCTTGTTCCCGCGGACATACGGCATCCAGTTTCACACCGGTGACATATGTCTTGTGAACGAGCAAGAAGCTGTGACATGGCCGAGGACAGTCCCATGGTTCTCCTCAAGGACAGGAGCAGTCCGGGAGTTTCAGTTGACCTTCAGTGCGCCCTTTCCAGGACATTTTCGAGGAGACTCCTGACAAAGATCGCTTTGTCGGGGATGTGATGTTCTGGAAGTTCTTCGAAGATATCGATGCGACCCGAATATATCACACAAACTCAGTGGAGTACAGGACGATTGGAGCGATATGTGCATGTGGGGTAGACTTGCAGCCATGGTCGATTTCCGGAGGAACTTGAAGGTCATGTTCTTTGAAACGCTGTTTTATCTGGTCCTGCTGCACCTTGGATCAGATGTGTGACATGGTCAACTCTTGTATGCATTGGTGCAAACAGGTCAGGCCATGTTTCTTATTTTGCTGACCGGAGTCTAGAGTCTGATTTTTATGCACACCGAGGGCCTCCGTGACACTGTATGCGTACAACCTGCAGTCGCAGGACGTAGAAGCTAGACCTGGGCTGATCTGCTGTGGCATAGGTACTGGATCTTGCTGCTGCGTTTTCCTTACAGGATGTTTTCGAGAGTCGAATCGAGCAGCTCGACTACTGGAGTGGTTGCGACACAGATGGCAACTGCAGAATCCAGAAGGCAGGCGCCGGCGCCGGCGCCTTCTTGAGGGTTAACCTGCTCACACACCCCCACAGCCCATTTCGATGTGAGCAGTGAGCAGGTTGAGAACATTCAGAGTTTCTGGTCTTGGATGCAGCCTGGGCCCCGAGCGCTTTCAAAGCTTTCAACTGTTACTGTCTCTGAGACTGGGCCCCGAGGGAAGAGCTCTTGCCTTTGGCATACACCGATGATGTCGGTGCACCCATCGTTGCGCAGATAGACACAGTGTTTCCGTGGCTTGGCTGCGCAAGGCAGGAGTTTGCACGCAGCCGCCACAGCTTGCAAGGGGCAAGAATGATCACAAAGCAGAATCCGAAGACTAGAGCAGGCAAAGGCGGATCTGCAAGAAAGGCGGTAAGGTAAGGAGTTGTCATCATGTTTCGCAATCCGGTGCTGACGGCATGGAACGGTTGTGAACTGACTATCCGTCTGTATTATTCTGTATTAGTTATTAATTAGTCATGATTGTGGATGGAAAGTTCGAGTCCCTGCAGTCGATGCTAGACTCCCAACCTCCTCAGAACTGCCTTGGCGAGGGGACCCGCGGGGGGTTACTCACCAAGCAAGTCAGACTGCGAACCAATTACGATCCTCTGCAGACCCTCCACAGTGGACATCTGCAAACAGCAACTAATATCTTTCACAACATGGACATATACGAGCAGTGGGGTCAAGTCGCATCAGGGCGCGCTTAGACACAGCATCCCCCTTTGCGTTCCGATCCACGTTTAGTCGCATCACCCGCGTTCGGTCACATCAGAAATATCGAAACTCCATGGGCGCGTGGTCCGGATGTGGGTTTCAACACATGTATCGAACTGAATGGAATGACCGCGTGCCGGAGGTATTCGTGCCTATTTTGCGTCACATCACCTCGTTTCATCACATCAGAAACAGCAAACTCCCGTTGCAAATGGTCCGGATGTGGGTTTCAACACATGTAACGACACGAATGGAATGGCGCGTGTGCCGCAGGTATTCGCGCCTATTTTGCAGTCACATCACCTCGTTTCATCACATCAGAAACAGCAAACTCCCGTTGCAAATGGTCCGGATGTGGGTTTCAACACATGTAACGAAACGAATGGAATGGCCGCCCGCAGGTATTCGTGCCTCTTTTGCAGTCACATTAGACATCACCTCGATTCATCACATCAGAAATAGCAAACCCCAGTTGCACATGGTCCGGATGTGGGCTTCCACACATACAACGAAATGAGGGCATGTGGAGCTGCTCCTGCCGAGCCGCTGTCTTGTCACGATCTCATCAATACAGTTAGTCGCAGCTCGTGTATTTTGCAGTGTTTTTCGGGTTCTAACTTGTGGGCTAGTACTTAGGCCTGCGCGCGCGAGCTTGTGCGAGCACCGCACGACCTCCAGTCATCGCAGCCCTAAGTCGCCTCACGTCGTCGAAAGTCGCATTCGCGCGACACACACACACAGCATCACACCACATCAGAGCCGGGCATCCCCCATGAAGGCACTCGATTCCACAAGCACCTGCTCGCCATGCCGCATGTAGACGCTCAAGTCCAGAAGCACTCGTTCGGGACACACATGCGTGGCATCATTGCCTTTTTAGCGGACTCCCCTCTTGCACCCTGGATCGATGCGACTAAACACAGCGCGATGGGACTTAACCCTTGGACGCAGTCGCTGCCCCGAACCGGTACCATCCGGTACCCAACCCTCCCTCGCATACCGCACTCCGGCGCTTCGAAACCGTCGCATTTCTTGTGTCGCTTGTCCTGACCTTTGCCCGTTTGCCCGCGATTTAACGCAGCCGTGGCCGCCCCTACTGGGACCCCGAATCCGGCAAACACTGCTCCCATCGTCATTGGCCAATCACCAGACATGAACCTCAGTGCATAGGATGCCCAGACAATCTCTGCATCCTGCCTTCCGGTCATGTGCCAGTGCCAGCAAGCACAGAACAGAAACCCAGCATGATTCCTGATCGTGTGCAGTTGCAAGATGTAAGTGCAGCATGTCGACAAGCTTGATCCAACAGTAAGGAACAGCCAGTTTCCGCTGAAGTGGAGCCGCTCTGTTGTCTTGTGCTGTTGCCTGTCGTTTCATAGACGAGATGAAGAAAGTTTGAAGGCAGGTCCTTGGAAACCGTATCACCTGGTGTATCAGAGGCGATTGCTACAGTTTCACGCGTCGAATGCCTGTGTCGGGACTGCTGGTCCTTACCCATAGCGTCCTGAGTTGCAGGAGCCCGCGCTACTTGAGTGACACACGCAGCACAGTTCTTCTTGGTGCTTTGCGCATGCGCCAGCTGTCGGCTTCCAAGATTCTCATCAAATCGGACACGGTAGGTCATGGAATTTTCATGTCAAAGACACTCAGGCGAGTCCAGCCCAATACGGGTTGCAGTGTGACTGCTCTCGTGAAGCACGTCTATGCTGACCTTCAGCTGTACATCATTCAAGATGTTGTGCATGACTGCCACGCTCCATATTCCACAGCTCCTCTGCACTGCCATTCTGCACAAGCAGCAAGGATTGCTATTCTACATATGATGAGACGCGTGAGAGTCAAGCAACTTGTCAGCAAGTCCACTAGCGGCACGCGACGTGCCATCGCGTGCTTGGTGCAAACAACAAGAAACGAAGGACGTCAGTCCCTTTGCAAAACAGAGAGGTCTAGAGCAAGCAGAGCCTTGTCTTTCAAGCTTTGTTAAGCTCGCGAGGGCTGTGCTCAGGCTGCATACGACCCGCGTTTCGCGCCAACATACCTCATCAAGGCTCGGTGGACATGCGGTTGCGACAGTCGTGTCTTTCAGTTGGAGAGGCCTACCAGTGGCGCCCTGTGGAAGAGACGCAGCAGATTGCCATCCGAGGAGCTGCAGCAACTTACTCTGGCCGGCCGCCGAGCTAAACGGGATCCGCAGGGTCCTTCCTATCTCTCGCTGTGATGCTTTGGAAGCTCTGCAAGCACGTGCGAAGGCTCGGGCTTTTTCATCGATCTGCCAGCCAACAAGTCGCATGCGCTGAGCATGCTCCATGATTTGCAGACATGGAGATGGTGTGATCGGATGACCAGGGCGCCGCTCGTCAAATCTGAGGCTTTTGCTGCGCATAGTCTCCATTCATGAAGAAAAGCGTCAGAAGTCGCAAAGCTCGCCGTTTCCGAAAGCAATGCTTTCCCGGTACTCTCTCCGAAATGTGAAGATGAATACAGAAGCCATCCCTGCATATCCCTGCAAACCGCATCAGTTGCCACTCAGGCAAAAAATGCCTCGCACAGCTCTTGAGGGCATGAAATGGCTTAGAGTGGCGCTGACACACCGAACCAAAATGCAGAGCTGTAGGTTCTGCCAGGGTTTGTCCTCCGCAATGTCTGAACGGGGTGAACGGTGCTACATCAGCGGAAATGCTGTGTGTTCATGTTCGCTCATCGGTGAGCTAGCCCAAAAGAGCTACCAGTCCCGCAGCCTTTTCCAAACACGGTGACGGAGGAACATAGGTCGAGTGGCCCGGTGTCTGTTGTCCCCATTGGCTTCTGAATGTCCCTGCATGTTAAGGGTTTCGATTGAATTGACGACGATGAGCACGAATGTGAACGTCATAGCCTGGGACTGAGGTTCTCCTGCTTCCAAGCTTCACAGCTTGTGTTGTCTGATATACTCTTTCCATGTGCAGCTCGGTGCATTTGTCTCGGTTGACATCTTGTCTTCAGGTCAACACAGCATCCTGGCACACAATTTGGGGTAGGTTCCTTGTAGATGCGAGCCTCAGATTAACGGCAGTCGCTTCAGTCGAGCGAGCATGCGCGACGAGACAAGGTCATCCTCTTTGAGTTCACTCCCAACGGAGCTGTGACTGGAACTGTCCAGACCTCGGCATTGCAGCCAGCAGCCAAAACTGGGCTCACACTCGGACAAAGAAAGATTCCCAGGTCACAAGCACGGCCATGCGGACATTCTTCTTCACGCCGTCCGTGCAGGGCTCTAACTTGGTGGCTTTCCTTCTCATGATCTGGCGCCCCGGAGCCAAAAAGTGTCTGAGACTCCAGGAACTCGGTGACCGAAAAGTGTCATGTGTTTTCTTCCGTCCCGAACTGAGGCTCGGCTTGGTCTTTCTGATCTTCACGATCTATTCCTTCTGGTTGATGTATAAGTGGCGTGGCAGGAGAGTGCATCTTACGTTCTTGAACAGGATCTCGCTGATTGTCAGCCGACCGTGCCTGCCAGAAGCAGAGCATGTTCTTTTGGAAGCAGCCATTGAGTGGATCAGCATTTATGCTGCCTGCTCACTTGCCGAGGACATGTTTCAATTTCTTAGGGCAAAATCCACTGGGCTATCTGCAGCGCTCTGGCTGGGCCGCACCTCAACTTCAGCTCATCCCGAGAGGCTGCAGGACGAAACTAAACAAAGCAGTGCAGTCAGCGGGATTGTCGGATTCCTACAGCAAAGGCAAGGCTCGCCTTTCCATTCCGGACCTTTTATCAGTTCTTCCGATATGGTTGGAATTGTGCAGACATGGTCTGCGGCTTACAGCAATCATGAAGCAGTCTGCCCTGTAAGGGAGTGTTTTGCAGTGTGAGCTCAGCTTCCGAGGTGATCCTTGGATCCTTCTATGTTCACCTGAGATGCTCGGCTGAAGAGTTCGTGGACCCTGCAGTGTAGTTTTTTGTTTCAGTGTCTTGGTCTCGGCATTCACCAGCTCAGGCTACCGTATCGGAGCTTATGTGGCAGTAAGCAACAACCCTGTGCTGCAACCGGATGTTGTGGGACATCCAGAGATTTTCATGTCCTATGGCGGCATGGAGGGAAAGGGCTTGAGCTTTTTGGCATTGCATGTGAGGAGGCTCTCACTCAGGCTGCAACCGTTTAACTGTTGTGGCTTGTGTTACCTGCGCAAAATCACTCATCAAATCCGGCACGATCTCCGAGGCCTTTCGGGCAATTAATGGAGCCGCTGGTGCTCGGCTTTGGCCTGAGGGGCAGCTCCCTGTCCGTCGCCTGCAATCTTGTAGCTGCACAACCTGCATCTCGCACCTGCAAGGCAACAACCTTCTGGCCCTTTTGTCCATCACTTGTTGGGTCAAACTGTGCCTCAGAGAATATGAGTTGCGTTTGCGACGCACTTATGGACTCCTTGCTCCCAAGGTTCAAGTATCTTTGCATGAGCAGCTACTTTCGGTTGTTGGTGAGAATCCTGGAGGCATGTGCGAGCAGGCACCGGATTAGGTACACCCTGCAAAAAACGGAGTGCTTTTCTGGATTGAAAAAGAGAGGGAAAGAAAGGTATGAGCGCCCGCTTGCCTCCTTTATCCTGGTGGAGGGAGAGAGAGAGAGAGAGAGTTTGCAGAGTTGCTGACCGGAGGCCCGCATCTGTTGTAGCTGTTTTACCGAGAACCGAGACTGACAGGGCGCGTACGCGCGCGGGGGAGGGTTGACCGCCTTCCCTTTGTCTGTGTTGAAGAAG